TCCTCTAACCCTATCTCTGCCGCCTCCAATTCCGCCCTCGAGATCGCGCAGGACAAGGGCCCCACCGCCCCCAACTCGGACGACCTATCGCGAGAAATCGGAAAAAAGTTGCCGCATTGGAAGCTTCCGTTGCGCAAGCGGGTCGTCTTCCCTCCCGTCCGACGTCCCATCGCGGGCCCCGCGGTCTTGATCCGTTGCGAAGCTGCCTCCACGGTCCCCGACTCCCCCGATTCCCCCAGCCCCGATTCATCCATTTCCGACTTGCCAGCATCCCCCGATCGCGATTCCCCCGAGGTCCCCGACCCCATTTCCTCCACCTCCCCCACCGCCGACCTCCCCGAGTACGCGAACCTCGACTCATCCAACGAGATCGCGCCGATCCCCGCCGCCACCCTGCACCCCGAGCTCATCATCCCCAACTTCAACGACCTATCGCGAGAAATTAGAGTAAAGTGGCCGCACTGGAAGCTTCCGCCGCGCAAGAGAGTCGTCTTCGCGCCCGTCTGGCGTCCCTTCGTGGGCCCTACGGTCCTGGTCCCCGACTCTCCGGCCTCCCCCGTCGAGGACGAGTCGGCTCCCTCCACCCTAGAGGACGACGGACCCGTCGACCTATCGCGAAAAACCGGACTGAAACGACCGCGTTGGGAAGAGCCGCGACACCTCTCCGCGGTCCTTGCGACCGATCTTCGTCGTGACCCCCCCGACCCTCTCTACCCTGATTCCTCCACCGAGGTCACGCCGAATCTCACCACCCTCCCGGACAACGGGCCCATCGCCGTCGATCCCATCGACCTATCGCGAGGGATCAAGACAAAGCGACCGCTTTGCGGATTTTCGCCGCACCCGTCGCCCGTTTTCGAGCTTACCCATCACCATTCCGCGGACCTCGCGGCCGAGGTTCGTCCCGACCCTGACGACTCTTCCTCCGGGACACGGGGACGATCCAGACACCAGTTTCGGACGGATCTCCAAGAACTTCGGAAAAGAACCTGTCCCCGGTTTTTAGGCCGCAGCCGATTATTCGCTGACGCCGAAATCTCGCACCCTCAGTTTTCAGACCCTACTCTGAGAACTTTACGGCCAGGACGAGGAAAGAGTCTCACAGCGAGGAGCTTAGGTAAATGATATGTTGCTAAATATGTTGCGAAAAATTTGGGACACGGGGATAGTGGTTACATTTTGAATTTTGTCATTTTCTACGAGTTCCGTCCTCGACCTGGAAACGTAAGGTGATATGAAAGCGATATATATACATATATACGCATACACACGAAAAAGTCAAAATATTTATAAAACTTTTCTCCAAACTGGGTGCACCAAATTATCTACAACTTTAACACGCGATTGGGGAGGTTCTAAGGAAAAACGCGCTGCCAGTGAAATTTCATTTTTCGAAAAAAAAAATCTTTCTTTTGGTTCTTGTCCGAGATAAGTACTTTTTTTTTCAGAAGAAAAAAATTCACAAGAAATTCCTAGAGTCGCATTACCTGAGGTGTTAATTTCTTCCACTATCGAAAAATAAGGTATAGAGTAATATGGATTATGAATAAAACGAATAATTCCTCGGGTGAATTATAATTTTTCGAGTAAATGTCAAAAATGTTACTCTTCTCATAAAATCGTCAAGTGGTATGGTACCTCGCAAAAAATGGCAAACCACCCCCTGTAATCAAAACAAAAGTTCTAAAGGATTTCCGGATGTCGAGCCGTGTTAGGTCTGAATTTTTACCGTTGGTAAAAAATATTAGGTATAATAATTTAATTGATTATAAATAAAATATGTGATTTCTGTCGTGCATCTTAATGTTTAAATCTACAGGTTGATTTGTGAATTCCTATATCGGAAAGAAAGTCTCTGCGGGTAATTTTCGTATCAACCCCATTTTCCACTGCGTTCTTTCTACGCAGAGAATTTTTTTCCCATCGGGTTACTAACTTTTATTTCCCTCTCTTTCGACCGGAACTCTCTAATTTGACGACGCAGCTGAGATTGTTTAAGGACTCTCGATAAATTCCGCAGAAATGAAGCGGATTAAGTCCGCGCGGGTGCGCGAAAAGTGGTCGTTGCGGAATTACGCTCCGTACAGAGTACGAACGGCCGAGCCGCACGCTAAACGCAATTGCGGGAAATAATGATTTTAATTCGGCCAACTTTCCGCCCGAATTAATGCGAAGCGCAATGTCGGATTGCTCTAAAGCAAAAATCTGCTTTATGCGAATTGTTTCATTCTGCCGGTCCTCGTTCGTAATGGACCATTGTGCACTCTTTCCCCTCTTAATTAAGGAAAAAATATCCTCGCGTTTCTCCACTCTCCCTTACGCGAACGTAAATCGACATTCAAGCCACTTGACGCCACATTTCGACCCCGCGTTTTTATTAACAATTAAATGAAAGTAAACTGGAGTGAAAAGTACGCTTGTTGCTAATTGCCAAACATCGAACAGTGATTAATTTTTGCAAAAAATAAATAAGGGAACTAGGGAAAAGTATGCTGCAGGTGCAACTGCAATCCTTTAATGTCGGCCTGACAGCCGAGGAACGTGCTTGATATCTCTTAAAAATGATAACCCGAAGAGCAATTGATGGTCACCAATTAACAATAAAGACTATTGAATTGAGGCATAATCGTACGGTTTTTTCTTCAAATCGTAAAAAATAAGTTAAAGTTATGTCTCAACCCAATGCACATATAAATATTAGAACGGATGATACAAAAATGATAAAGGAGGAACGAACAGAAATCGGGCAAAGGGAGGGGAATAAAACGATATTCCGGGGATAAAGATAGATTTTTCGGTGAAGTATTTCCCGGGGATACTGCAACCTCGTCTTAGAAGGGAAAAGTAAGCAGGTGTTAGGCCAGAAGCAGCTTCAGGAGCAGCTTCGAGCCTTCGGGGTTGGCCCGGCGCACGTGCAACTGCTCTTGCAACCGCGGTGCGCACGTGACGCCCCTAATAAAAGCAGCCCGAAGAGCAGCTGCCGGATAGAATCGACGTCCCATAAAAGCCGGATATACCGGCACTTTAATGGAAAACGATCGACGCGAAATTTCACGGGACTTTCTCCGATCGACTGCTCGATAAGGGACCCCCAAGGTCCATTCGCCTATTTTCGCGAGCCGAGTGCCTCTTATCAAACTATTATCCGCCCTTACGCGACTTATATTCCATTCGAAAGTATTAGATGAATGTCGCGTATGAAAGTATAGTCGAAAAGTTTTGTCATTAGATGAATTTTAAGTAACGCTGCACCCAGAGAATTGCATGATAAAGAGAACGGCCAGGAAAGCCACAATTGTCGTAATCGTGACCATGGGGCAACATATGGGATAACCTTAACGAGCTTAATTAAAAAAGACCACGGAAGTAGTGACTTTTTATTTATGATAAAGTATTGCGACAAACTATCATCGGAGATCATTTGTACAAATGAAGGACTTCGTAAAGTTGTTTGGACATGTGGCGAGTAAAATGCGCCCTTAAGATTCGGTGGGTGGCGCTTTTTTTTCCTCAAATGAATACGTCTGGGAATTTAGACCTCTTCTTTTTTCGATCGAGGACTGGACGAGTAACTCCTGGGGAAAGAAAGCCCCTCGGAGGAGCATTTAAGGGAGCTCTTCTCCCGAGAGGGGTGCTAAAAAGTGCTCGCTCGAGAGAACCCGGCGAATCGCACTCGCTAAAGTCGAGGGGAATCCCTCGACAAGAAGCTGCCGCACTCTCGTAAATCATTTGTTTCGGTATCACGTGCCCGGAGGGCGTAATACATTTTTAGGGAACGTGGAAATACCGTAACGAGGCAGTTCGTTTTCCATCTGAGTTGGACGAACCTGGGCGAAAGGAACCACTAACGCGAATCAGAATTTCCCTATCCTTGCGCTCCATTTCCGGTCCTTTCTTTCCTATTTTCCCATAATTCTGACCTTTTCTTTCGCTACCTCTCAGAATGAAGTTGGAGGAAATTGTATAAAAATGTATAATTACATGATGTCGTGGAGAATTAATTTTCCAGGGAGAATGATATAATCCGCATTGAATCGTAAATCGATATTCCTTCAATTGAAGGGACGTAAATCCTGACACTATCGGAGGGGTTTCAGATACTTCGGCCCAGTTCAGAAATTGCAAAGCGGGCATTGCTCGCGATTCCATTCCGTAACAAGTAACTGCCATTAATAGCCTAGAGCTCTCCTTCGGCGATTCCCCCGCGTTTCTGGGTTAATAAATGAATATAATAATTTAACGTCCGACGCGTAGGACCCAGATTATAGTCAGGACTATAAATTCGATCGATCCTTTCGACGTGCTCTCCAATTTCCCGCCGAGGTCGCAGTCCACAAGATTTATAAAAAAATCAAAACCAGGGGCGATCTGAAGCGCATTAAAATGCATCCTCTATGTTAATTGATGACTCGACCCGCGCCAATCGATGCACCGCGTGCCTATAATTTATTGTTAATAATTCGTACGTGACTTTTCAACCAGGTGATTTCATCGACATGACATCTTGATGTCCCCTCGTTTTTCGAGATTCCCATTTACCCATTCAATCAGCAATTTAAATGTCACTCTATGTTAAACGACTTTTCAAACAGTAACGTGCAACACAAAAAAAAAATATCGCTTAATTTTTCTCATTTCGTTGTAATAATTTCCCATTTTTCTCGTAGTAAAGAATATTTACAATATGCAGAGAGTTGTGCGAGAATGTCTGTATGAAATAAATAAAGGACAGACATTTAGAAGAGTGCCAATAAGTCGTTGATAAGATAATCTGTTACCTAGTCGCTTAATATTACGTGAAGGAAAGGAAGTTTCACATAAAAAATTACACTTGAAAAATTTCACTTGAAAAATTTCACTACAAAAGTTTCACTTAAAAGAAAAATCTGATTAAAACAGTTCTCTCCAAAAAAGAGGAGTCCGTTTACTCGTGCCGAAATGAACACGGATAGGTAAGGAATAATGCACCACAGACGCATAAAATAATAAATATCTTTCAGGACTCGGAGCTCTGCATCTCTCTGGGACTGAGTCTGCAGTACGTGAGAGTTTCCGTGTTCTGCTGGTTAGCCGCGATGTGCCATCACTTCTACTCCACCGTGGCCGCCATTCCGCGCTGCGACGATCCCCCGACCTACCTCAAGTACAGTATCTTCGCCTGGGGAGCTCCCCTGGCCGGCCTGGGCGTCGCGACGATGCTGCAGAGCCGGGAAAACGACGACTTTTGGAACGTCCAGGATTTAACGCCCTTCAACTGCTGGTGAGCTTTTAGTTTTACTCGAGGAAAAAGACTACCGGGAATTTTCCCGCAATTTTTTCCGCAACTCTTTCCCACCATTTTGCCCACAGTCCGAATGATTGAAAACGAGACGCTTTATTTACGCCGGCGATGCTGGTTTTCGAGGACCTGAAATAAATGATGTGTAACGTGAAATAATTTTGAAGAGTTTAGAGAACGGTGTGATTTTGAAAAAAGGAGAAGCAATTTAAAGGGGAATGCATTTTAATCCAAGTGAGTTTAAACTTAAAGAGTTTAAAACTAAACTCAAAAAGCATTGGTTATTTTTCCTAAAATCTGAATTTCTTATTCGTCCAGTTCTTAAATAACCTTTCCCAATTTCTGAAGCCAACGTAACTTTTTATCTCAGACTTCTCGTTTTCCTGAACTCGTTTACACCGCGAAGAAAAAAACAATTTCCAGTCACCGCCTGTAAACGTGTGGTAAAATCCTCCAACTACTACACGTAACGATGAGAGTGATTATCTTCAAGAACTTAAAATAATCCATTATATAACGTGGAGTAACTTTTGTGATTGAAAGAAAAAAAAAGTAAAAGAGGATAACCAATTTACAGGGCAAATGCAGATTCTAGGTAACAAAGTATCGGAACCATCGGAGAAGAGAAAAGGAGAGAGGAAAATCCGTGTCCATTACTCCCTCCGTTTTTTGCGGATCTCTATTTTTTTATCGATTTTGAGGGAAAACGAGGAAATCATGGAGTTCATACATCCGAGAGTTGCCCGTGAAATTGAGAGTTCCGGTCTATTATCCTCTAGAAATTCGGTTTACCTGAAACCTCTATAATCAACGATGCCTTTAAACGTGACATTGGCAGTCAACCGAAATCTCTTCCTGGGGCTAAAATATGATTATTATCCTTATTCGTTTCTAATAAAAAAAAAGAAAAAAAAGAAAACCGGAAAAGTGAAATAAAAGGGAGAGACTCCCCTTCAGGGCTGACTCGACAGTAATGGCTCTTCTAAGCCTGCTTTATCCTTACAAGTACGTTCAGTCTCGTCCTTCGAGGTCCTCGTAAGATCCTCTGAAAACTTAATCTCACTTTCATCCTCTTTTTCTCCTCAGTCAGGGTTCGGTGGCTTCGGTAAAATTTTTCCTCGAGACAATTTCTCCACCGTTCCGTCCTCCTCGTGACGGCTCGCCTGCGAGAAAGTTAAGGTACACGATATTAGGTACACAAGGTAAATAAAGTTACTCACCGTATGTACGTACCTCGAGGGGTAGGAGGGCATTTTTGCGGGGTGACTTCCACTTCAGGGGCCGAGATAAAATTGCGATGAACCACTTTTGATGCGTCCTTTCATCCCTAAAACGAAACCCACGTGAAACCGAAACCTCCGAGATGGACCGAGGAATTCCTTTCTTAAAAGTAAAACGGGAGAGCCGCTTTGCGGCGCGAATAAAGTGGAGGTTCTTGCGAGAAGAATCAAAGGAGGAACCGGAGGAGGCACTTTCGTTGAAGAACGTGAAGAGGAGATCAAGATGGAGAAGTCCTGCCTCCGGAGAGTCCTTTCCTCGTCTTGGAAGTTTCCGGGTAAAAGGGAAGCGGAAGGAGGAAAACGAAACGAGAAGTTCGCTTATAAACTCGGTTTTTTTCCCGTCTATTTTATTTTTCATTTTATTTTTTTTATTTCGCCTTGAAGTGGCGAAGAGATCGAACGATGCTCACGTGAAACGAAAAAGGTTTTCCTACTCGATATCGGACAATTACAAATTGAGGGGGACTCGGTTCTTTAATGGTCTTGGGGGAGTTCGGGATAAGGAATTTAAAGGACGAGAGAGGGATTTCGAACATCGGGGAGATTTCAAGCCTGTCATCTTCCCCATGACATTTATTTTTCTTTACTAGGAGGATGGGGATAATGGTCACACCTGGTACCACATAAAAAAGGACTTTACATCACGCTATCACAAATTCTAACTATCAGGCGTCCTCGGTTTATACTTATACACCTTGTTTAAACATTTGACAGGAAAGCAATCTGACGATGAAATATTTCCGTAAATCCTTCGGGAAACACTTCCTCATCTTAGATCTTATTTCAAGCAACTTTACGACCACCGGAATCTTCATATCTTCATACTCGATATCGAGCAATTTCCTCTCGTAAACTTCGAACCTTTAACTACTTCCGCCACTTCGAGGATTTCCTGCTTCCTGGCGACTATAAAAGTGAAAACAATTTTGTTTGGAAAACATTTTCCTGCTTCATATCTAAAAATGTTAAGTCTATCCAGAGCTTTATAAGGTCCTCGATATCGAGCGGTTCCTCATCGTAAACTTCAAACGATTAACTACTTTCGCCACTTGGGGGATTCTCTCGTTGGTGGGCACCGTAAAAAAAACGCCCACCAAGAACCGCTCCACACTTTGAAGAGCCATGAAAGCTTTCCGAGGACGTCATAAATCGTTCCCCGACTTCCAGGAGACGAGTTCCAATTCCTTCCCGTAAAGCCAGTGCAATTAAGTGCTATCGAGGTAATATCCGACTTCTGCGGATTTCTGCTGGCTGAACTCAAGTATCTCTGTAAAATATCCGTTCATGTCCTATATACTCCTTGCTCCATGGTGGAGCGAGAATATATATCCAGCGATCGATTACCTTCGATACTCCTCGAGTCCTTTTCAACCTCGAGATTGAAGATTCTCCGACGCAGAAGTAATATAAACTCAAGCTACGTCTACTTATTTGAGAATTTATTTATCCTACACTACATACATTTATGTCATACAAGTTCAACATATCGAGGAGAAATTTTTGTTTTTTTTCCGAAGAATGCCTCCTCGAGTTTCTATTTATTTAAACCCTTACGAAGTTTCAGAGTCGTTATAAATCCCTTCGAAAAGAGTTCTCGGTCGCGAAGGCGATACGAAAGAAACTTCCCCGCTGCGGGAGCTTATTTTATTTTTAAACCGAGTTTCTCGAGTCCTCGGCACGGAGGTGGCCATTTTTTTTAACTACGAATCTGAATTACATTCTGCCCCAGTGATAAATTTCAAGGAATTTCCACCTTTTCTCTTAATCTCTTTAGACTTCATCTCTGCAGCTTTATGGTTCTTAAAGAAGCGTGCCCTTACCGTATAAAAGCCATGGAATAAATTCACATAATTTCCTTTCTCAATGTTTATTATATTAATTCCACTTATTGAGACTCTTTTTTTTAACGGGAGCTTTTTTCGTTTCTTTACAGGTTCCTCGGCACGAAAGCGACTGTTTACGCTTATGGTCTGTCGATCATCCTCCTGTTACTCATCTCGGGCTATTATCTCGTCCATGCAGCTATCGTCGCAAGGTATATCCCAAGAATGCCCAAGAACATCCAGTAATGCCCATTTGCATCCCTTAAAATACTCAAAGGGTATATTCAATTCTCAAGGTATACGTGCAGCATGCAGCTCGAAGTGAAACAGCGGGAAAAGATGAAGAAGAGACGAGCTTTGCAACTGGCACTCTTCCTCAAAGTCAGCCTGATTATCGGTGCAGTTGCAGGATGCGGAGTTGCAGCCAGAGTATGGAAGGTGCCATTCATGTGGGCCATTTTCTGCACGGGACATTCCCTTCAGGTACATAAGAAGAAAAAAATGATTTTCATTCAGAAAAAAAAACTGATTTTCATTCAGAAAAAAAAACTGATTTCCTTAAATAACGCCTATTTGGATTAAATAGCAGGGTCTTGAGAGAAAAAAAACCTGTAATTGCCCCGAAGAAATATATGTTTTTTAATTAAAATAAATGACATTAATTGATTTCCTTAAAACCGTAACGCGTTTAATTGCAGCTAGTAACGCTGGGATATTTTATTCGATCTATTGAAAGATTGTAATTTATTAAAATTGAAGTCTGTTTTAAAATTTTTTTTAAAAAGCGATTGGTGTTTCTTGAAATGATTGCCTTTCGAATTGAGAGGAAAACTGTTTGGCGTTCATTCTTGCGTCCGTGATGGCAAGAGGAGCTTTCTGCTCCCTCTTCCTTTTTTTTTCTTTTTTTTTAAGGAGCTTAGGTCCTTCACTGAAGAACCACTTAAAGTTCGACCTTTTTATCTTCTGTCGGCAGGGATTGATAGTGGCCCTGGCGGTAGCTTGCAACTGCAGGGTGCTGAAGGTCTACGCAAGAAAAGCACACAAACAGACGAATCAGCAGGTAATTTCCTCAAAAAGTATTCCCCGTTCAAATTGATTTGGGGGGAAAAAAAACAAGCAATTTAATGTTACAAGAACGAGAATCGAACCTCTCTCGTACCTCTTACCTCTTTTCGAAATTTCATGAAACTCTTGATTGAATTGTCGCGTTTCAAAAAATACACAAAACGAACACGTGGTCTGACATTCACATGCCAAATCAATTTTCGCGTTTCAGATCGCCACGTCCTCGAGCATGCAGCTATTGGCTCCTCCACCAGACCCGGTCTAATCGACTAAATATCAACCGAAAATAAAAACGAGGAACCACGGAGACCGACCCGATGAGAATCTACCTACAAATGGAAAGAGATGCGCGAACGAAGAAACGGCAGAGAACCTCGGACGAGCCTTCACTATTTTTACACCGAAGTTTTACTAAAGGAAAATTTCTTTCGAGTCCCTCCCAATCGCGATAGTTCATCCGACGAGTCGTTAAACGGTCCAAAGAAATGGGGAAGATCGAGGCTTTTTTTCTAATCCTCGAAGGTAAAAAAAGAGGAATCCACTCTCGAGTTGGTTTGCGATAAAGTAAACGCTCTTCGAGGCTGGACTCGTCGTTTGCGGAGACATTGGAAATGCAAGGATAGAGAGAGAGGGGACTAAATAGAAGTCGTATCTGTGTATTAGTGGAGTAACATATCAGAGTAGAGTAGATAACCGTTCACTCTTTGCTCTCAAAGAACGGATCCTGGTCGTCCTTCCTTGGACCGAAGTCCTCGGGGAGGACGAGCAGGAGAAAGGAAAAGTCAGGAAAGTGCACGATGAAATCGAAGTGCTCCTTGGTCCAGGAGCTCTTTTTGCGGGTCCTTTTCCTGGCGAGGAAAAGGAGCCAGGATATCCGGGAATGCAGGATCTCGCGTATCGTAAATCAAGGGAAATCATTGCACGCTGATATCATTCCAATGATTCGAAATAGTGATCCCGAGATCAGGAAGAATCTGCCAGGATTAATTGTTAAATGATTAACCGCGAGCAGATCTTTTCTTCGGGTAAATCCTTCCGAGCACCCTACAGGAAAATTAATCGTAGATCAAGAAGGACAAAAAATGTCTAAATTTACTTAGGAGATGTATTGATTTATTTTGATAGTGTATTACGGAAAATCGAGGTTATTAAATCGGAGGATTATCCTCGTAATTAAATAGTAGGTCGACCCGCAGAAAGGTAAAATTGAGGGAGGGGAAATGCACCATGAAATTGAAGTGCTCCTTGACCTCGGAGAACGTTTTGCGGATCCCTTTTGAGGGAAATGAAGGATCGCTCAGAGAAAAAAAAAATGAGTCGTGAAGTAAACGTCAGCCCCTAAAAAGGATATGATACACAACTATGGAAAGAATAACTTGACAAATGGTAACTTAACTTAAACTTTGTTGCCGATCGTATACCCTTTTCAGGAACTGGCGTTTATTTCGCAACTTTTGCGATTATGTTAAACCCTACTTTTTCCCAGTGCAGGATATTTAGAAAAACGGGAACTCGCCCTATCTGCGATACGCGAATTCACTGATTATCGTTATCATTTAAGTCGCTCGAAAAATCAAGATAAATCTATCCACATTAATTGTTATTGATTGTTTGCGGAACAATTCCTTTCATCGAGATATACGTGAAGCTGGATAAGAAGATCCTTCCCATTGTCCTATCGATAATCGGACAAATCCTAGAGACGCAAAGAACTGCTGTAAGCGATTACACGAAATTCCGTAATTTTATCATACATCCACACGTGTACTGGATAGTGAATAAAGATTTATCAAAGGACCTTGTCACTTTACAGGACCTTCGTCGAGCTGCCCAGGTTTTTGCAATTCTGACTCAAATTATACCACCATACAATATCTTGACATCTCAAACCATCTCAAGATATCTTTTAACCAAAGAGTAAATAGCAACTACAACAACTAGACTAAACTAAATTAATCACTCGGATGAATTAACCCTCAGTAACCCGAATTTTCATTCAAGTCGGCAAAGAATTTTGTAAATATCAACTTTTTGATATAAACTATTTCTTTATAAATGTAAAATTTGCATAAATTAAAGATATCAAAATGTTTACGAATTAAGGACCTGTAAACAAATTCTCTGGTTAAAAAGATGCGGTAGAATATCAAGGTGGTACATACAGAATTTTATCCGGAAAAATTAAGTATGACTTAAAAAAAATATCGCTACATGAGCATGGTACTTTAAAATCGCATGGAACAGAATTAAAACGATGAAAGTCAATTAAACAACGCAGATTCTATGTGAAAAATCAACGGTGTTACGAAAAGAAAAAGTAACTGCAAAAAAGCTCTTTCCCACGGTTCGAGAATCGGGGAGCATTATTCCGCGCCAGGTTTAATTACGGCTCGAGGCGGGAACAGAGAGGGGCAATTTATTATTACATCCAGGAGCTTTCATTACGATCCCTCGAAGTGCCTTAGTCGGATTCTATTTTATCATCAGGTGGAACGTCGAGTTTCGAGCGCGGTGCCTCCCGAAGAGTTTTGATAATCGTAATTACGGGGGGCACGCTTAATGATAAGAATTGCAGAGAGCGAATCGCAGCTCGAAAAACCAACCCGAGAATCCCTTCGCCACGAGCCCGTTAATGAGGACGTTAATTAAGCGGGTTTTCCTCGAGTCGTACAATTACCTGCGAAATCAATTAAGCTCTCGGCGACAATTCCGCGCAAATAAAACCGACTGTCTTACACCCCGCGCGATAAGGAGAGCGGAACTTCCTGCGAGAGGACTTTCCGCTATTCAGAACAGATCCACTGCACCAGATAATTAATTATCGATGCCGAACTTAAGAAAACCCATTAAACGCGTTTTAAGACCCTCGGTTTTTATTTTCCCTGGTAATTCACAAACCCGAGAATTTTTTTAAGCCAAGGGTTTGTTCACATAGCGCGTTAATTAATTTAATATAGCTGTGAAATTGCATAACGCACGTTTGCAAACTTGCTACGTGAATTCATGTGCGATAGAAAAGTATAATTTCTCTACCATATTATATCATTCATCATATTGTATCATATTGTATCATAAATAATCGGTAAAAGTTTTCTTAAAGTATCCAGAAATGGTCTCGTTTATCTCCGCGGTGCAGAATGATTTGGAAATTCCCAATCTTCTATGTCAACTTTAGACGCTGGCAATTTCTACTTCTCAACACTTAAACCGAAATACGGTCGCTCTAATTCAACGTCAATTTATTATGAAAGTTTACAATATTGATGAATTTCCACCTTCCAATATCGGATATTCATATTTTTTCTTCATTATCGACCATTATAAAGCGCTCAACTGCTCGCGTGAGAAATGAGTAAAGTGCCGGATTGCATGTGCAAAGTGCAGATTTACGATACGATGACATTGGGTAAGAATTATCCAATTTCCGTTTAAGCGTTAACATTCGTTTCGTATTTTACCACTTTGCTCTTCCCCTTCGAACTGGTGGAACTTTAATTGAACCTAATTATACAGTTAATGAAACTTCTCGCCCACGTTTTTCTTATCAGAGCCAAAGTTTCTGGATAACGCGATGCATTACACGGTGAGGTACGATTCGCTCCCGTCATTCGGATCCAGAGAAAGTGGAAAAGTGGGATAAACGGGAAGAACGGCGAGGTGCCAGGATGTCTGGAGCCCCGACATCGACCCGTTTGACTCGGGGCATCCCTGACATTCCTAGTGATAAGCCAAGGTCGCAATAAATCAGAGCGACGCGTCGCGACGCTCTCCAAAAGTGGATACGCAAAACCGCGAACGGACCAGGGAATTCTGTCGTATGATAATTGTTTACAAACACCCGTTATAAATCAATATGCAAACTGTACCGCATAAAATACGTGGTCTGGATTCGTTTCCTGCCATTTAATTTTCTACGTTAATCCATGGTATTCTCGCGTCATCGCCTCATCGATCTTAAGGTCCCGCGATTTTATTTTCAGGATCAATCTCAGGAGAAATCTCTAAAAGTTGTTATGGAGGCTCCTGGATTCGTCTTTGTTCCAGAAACCTAACCGGTTGTCGCGTCGCAGTTGTTGGTCCATAGGTCGATCCTTACTCGGGACGAGACAAGAGCTCGAGACAATTGTCCTCGGGAGGGATGTACTCGACCACGGCGTCCTGGTTTAACCTCGACCTCAATCGATCATCTCGGGGTGTGTACCTTCCGGTAAGGATCGCTTTTTCTCCCGAATTCGCCGGATGAACGTTGCGAGCCTCTTCGGACTTCTCGGCCGCTCGAGTCTATTTTTTTTATATANTTATATAAATGAGTAATTTTTGTTATATAAATTAACTTGCGAGCTTGCAAACATCCGATAAAATGAGCCATCCCATTTTCTGTATAGATACGTACGTGGTGCACAGGAAATGTGCATGCATTTCGTTCCCGCTTTTCCGTAAATTTTTCAGAAGAAAATAATAAATTATATACACGCGATATCGTGGAACACGATGTACGTACATGTGCATGTACAATATATTCACACGCACGAGGAGAGCTAATGAAATCCAGGGGAAGATATTCCCCAAAGAGGCGAACAAACACGGCGTTGTTAAACAAATAGCAGCGATGGTCGGGGGTCACAGAACCTACGTTAACAGCTGGCAAATAGCCGGTGGGTCACCTCGACTTGAATAATTAACCTGACGCATATTTAATGGAACGTTATTTCCGAGGCAGTAACTCCCATCACCCATTTGTACTTTGGTGCCAAGCTGTGGAGATAAAACCTGGTAAATAATGCTCATACATTTATTTGACTTTACGAGACCGGTCGCGCGAGTGTTTTGTCGCTAGAAACTATCTACATCCGATTTAAAACAATTCTCATTTATTTTTAGATTTTTTTGAACCTTATTGGTACCGCGAGGAACCAACATGCACACTTTTACGGATTTACAAGCTTTATCTTATGAGAAATCATTATTTAAATATTACGATGCATATCAATATCTGATTTGCATGGTATTTACTTTTTAAGTGATGCGATTGCGATTTCTTTTTTATCAGTGTACAATACAAGAATTTCTAATTACACCATATCAATCCCGAAATGTCTAAACAACGATATACGATGAGAGAGATGCCAAGTCCCTAAATAACAATTATTCAAAAAACTTCTAATTTCACTTCAAGTTTCTACAAAAGAAGTCATGATGTAGTAACACTTAAATCGGTACACTGTGGGAGCTCTAAAAATTACGTTGCAATATCAGATATTAAATGGTTAACGTTTCTCAGGCTAAAAGAGTTGATTAAAAAAAAAAAAGAAAAAGCGCAAGTAAAATAGAAAAATGGTGTAGTAGGATGGAGTCATAATTTTTATTGTAATAAATTGTCGGACTATTTTCCCGTCGATTATGGAGCCGCATAAATATTTCGCTTTTTTGAAACCCCTTGAAAAAAATGATACGTTTTGTCGATGACAGATGTTATCCATGTCTCGCGCAGGATTACAGTTGCGAAACCTTCGAAAGTGTAAATATAAAAGATAGAACGAACAAACGGAAACGCCAAAGTAACAACAGAGTTTCAGGGGAGGTTATAAAAATATTTGTATTTGTTAAAACTAATATTGACGCGGAATACGTAAATTCTCCGCGTTCCCTGTTTCGGCAGTTTCTGAAAATGATCGGGAAAAGCTCGAAAACGGTCGAAAACGCTCGATAACGCTAGTAGGGAAATGTAAAAATCATACGCGAAATGACGCTGCTTATATCCACAGTTAGGTAAGCCTCGGGAGGATTTTTCGCAGTATTTGACTCTCACGCGTACTCGTCGAGTGTAGCGCCGAACGCACATATATTCAACATCTCGACCCGTAGCTAGGCGCTTGGCTGGTTGGGACGCGCGAAGATTTCTAGGAGCGATCGCACTCACGCAGATTCGCTGCATGAGAATTCCGTACGCGACACCGACGCGTGCCCCAAAGCTCCGCGTCACGTCGACTTCGAGGCAACAATGTACTTAATAGTAGTAGATAAGTAGATAAAGTGAAATGGAGCGTGACGAATGTTCTTCCCTTACCATCAATAGCGAGCAGTGTTGGTAAGCGTAGGTAAGCCACCACCGTCAACTGCCGCATGGTATTACCATCACGAGTAAGTGAGCCGCCAACGGCGACTGGTAGATGGTACCGCCATCGCGAGTGTGTGAGCTCCTATCAGAAATTCGTTGCGCCGCCCTTGGGGGCAAAAAACGGTGAAAGCTAATGTACGAAACCAGAGGGCAGCACAGGATGCGATCGCAAGATCCTGCCCGTGAGCTATCTCTCAACTCATCTCTGGTATAACGAGGGTCTTGGCGCACTTTCTTTTACATAAACCCGAGTTTCTCACCCAGTTTTCTAGTCAATGCCTAACGAGGTCGGTCAAGTACCATCGACACCTGACAGTCTTGCATTCATATTTTCGCACAAAGGCGACCAATGAAGATCGCGCGTGCGAAAGCACGTTTCCAGATCTGCAAGCGAAATTGCGAATTTAGATTTTCCATCTTTCAACGGAGCCTTTACAAGCTCAAGGATTATGAAACTCGTCAGGCCGATTCGAATTGAAATTTATTTATTGATCAATTCCTTTTGAAAGTTATATTGATAAGAGCACGTGAAAGCAGAAGCTATCGAAATTCTTGTCGAGGAGGATTTCTCTGAATGAGTTGATCAAATTTGAATTCCCTCGTGTCAGAAATGATGTATGCAATTAGTACCATATTGTTTATATTTATTGCAGGTTGGTAATGAC